AGAGAGGTGATCAGAGCCTCAGCCCTCAGAAGACCAGGCGAGGGGGAGCAAGGCCCAGAGGGCAGAGAACTGGCAGCGGCGCCACGGGGAAGGCTGGTGTGCGTCCCAGGCCTGGCACCAGGTAGGCAGAGGTGAGCTTGGAAAGGAGGCAAGGGGAGCAGGCATCCTCCTGGCTGCAGAAGCTCTCCCAACAGCAGCCCATGGGACCCGTGTGGGGTAGGAGCAGCCACCAGGGAGACTTGGCAGCTGCTCAGACTCCAGGCAAGTGGCTGGGCGCCATGGCCAGAGCTGCACCCTGCATTAAAGCTCACATCCACGTGGCCTCCTGCCCTGGGGGGTGGGGGGGGAATCTGGCCGACTCACTTGTGACTCTGAAGGGGTCTTGGGTGCAAAGCAGCTCCAGGCCCCAGCGCAGGCAGCTCCTGAGCCTGGGCCCGTTGAGATGACTTCAGGGTGGGAGCCCAGGTCTCCAGGCCTTGCCATTGGCTGGCTGGGGTCCTGCACAAGTCCCCACTGAACCTCTATCTCATCCGGACGAGGTGGTGATGAGGCTGCTGTCAGATGACTGTCAGCTTGGTGCCTGCAGGGAGTCTATGTGACCTTGACCTCACAGTAGCCATGGTGACAGTGAAATCACCTGGGCAGCCGTTGCAAGAAGGGTTGTTCCAGAATAGGCCCCAGGGCGGGAGGCGAGGAGACAAGGGCTGTGGCCAACCTGGGATGGAGCCACGCTCTGGGCCCTATATGGACAATCTCTCAGGTGTATCTAGTCTACCCCAGACCAGAGGCGAAGCAGCCCCAGGCCCCAGCCTTCCGTGCCCCTGAGTTTAAGAACCACCGGGTGGGGAGTGACTGGAGATCCAAGGAAGGATGGCACCAGGTGGCCCCAGGAGGGGAGATGGGAGGGGTCACACTGCATGTCTTGGAGGCCAGATGAGATGAGAGCCCCGCCTACCCCCTCCAAGTCCTTCCTGAGCCTGTGCTGCTGGAAGATCCAACTGGGGGAGCAGAGGAGATGAGACAGCCCACCAGCCAGGGGGCGCTCTGCCTGGGCTGGCCCTGGTGCTCCGTACGACTCTCCAAGGAGCCTGATCGAGTATCTGGTGAACTGCCCATGGGCCTTAGAGACCCTCCCTGCCAAGGCCTAGCCAAAGGCTACGTCTTTGGGTCTGAATGCGTCGGTTCCTGCAGCTGCAACACCACAGCTGCGGCTCCAGCGGCAGACATGGCTTCTCCTGGGTCCTGGAGGCCGGGAGTTCAAGGTCAAGGGCCGGTTCCTCTGGGGCCTCCTCCTTGGCTTGCAGACAGCGTCTCCTGCCTGTGCCCTCACGGAGTTGTCCCTCTGTATGTCTGTGTCCTCATCTCCTCTTCTTACAAGGACACCGGCCAGATTGGGCCAGGGCCCACCCCGGTGACATCACTTCAATTTAATCAAAGCCCCCACCTCCAAACACAATGGCATTCTGAGGCCCTGGGGGTGGAGCCCCATAGGATTTTCAGGGAGTCACCTTCCGGCCCCTAACAAGGTCCGGGCAGGACCTGCAGTCGAGCAAGGCTGCAGGCGTGAGTGACAGCTCCATCCACTGTGCAGCCAGTGGGACGGGACTCCGAGCTCCCAGATGTTGGGGTGGGCCCCCCCTGCAATGGCTGCCAGGCTGTGCAGGACAAAGGTGCTCAGCTGGTCCGGGACAGACCCAGGAGGAGCAGGGAGCCCCAGACACCCCGATTTTCAAAAACATCCAGCCCCAGCCCCAAAGCACAGTGGGCCATTGTTGTTGCCAACCACAGGGCACCCCCTTCTGTACAAATGGGGACGCAATGGCACAACAGCCGGGCAGGTCCTCCTGGAGGGAGGAGGAGGGGAGAGTCAGGGGAGCCACTCCCAGAACTAAGAACACTTCACACCACAGCCCGGCCGGAGGAACAGAGAGAAAAGGGCACGGTGTGCTGAGGGGGTGTGTGTGCCTGTGGTGTGTGTGGTGTGTAGACTGTGTGGTGGGTGGGTGTGGAGTGTGTATAGTGTGTGTGGTGTGAGTGTGTGGTGGGTGTGTGCATGGGGTGTGTGGTGTGGTGTGTGTGGAGTGTGTTGTATGTGTGTACAGTGTGTGGTGTGTGTGCCTGTGGTCTGTGTGGAGTGTGTGGTGTGTGTAGCATCTGTGGAGTATGAGGTGTGTGTGTGGAGTGTGTGGTGTGTGTGGAGTGTGTGGTGTGTGTGTGGAGTGTGTGGATTGTGTGGAGTGTGTGGTGTGTAGATTGTGTAGTGTGTGGTGTGTAGTGTGTGGTGTGTGTGGAGAGTGTGGTGTGTGGAATGTGTGGTGTGTGTGTGGAGTGTGTGGTGTGTGGAGTGTGTGG